ATCAGTGGGATAAGTCTTTACGTCCTTGCTGGCTTGGACAGCAACTACCTTCATCTTCCATGCTGAGGACAGTCCCCTCAACACCTTCAGGTTGATCTCCTTGGTTGTGAGATCCTTCCCAAGCTCAGAGATCTCTCCAGTGAGGGTGAGGAGCCTGTCATACATCTTGGAGATGCTTTCACCAGGGAGAAGTTTGAAGTCATCAAACTTCTTGTTTGCTATGGTTAGTTTGTTGTCTTTCTCTTGCTCATCACCAGCTCCAATGAGCTCAAGAGTATCCCAGATCTCCTTAGCAGTTTTGCACTTCTTGATTCTGTTGAAGTATCTATCATCAATGGACTTGTAGAGGATGTCCTTAGCAATATTGTCTAAGTTGTACTTTCTCCTCTCTTCAGTGGTCCATTCAGACTTAGCTTTGCTGATCATCTGGGGTCTGGTGTTGTCTATGGCATGTTCAGGATTGACCTTCTGGAAGCTAGTGAAGGGGCCAATGTCAAGAACTTCCCACATCTCATCATGCAGGGCACAGAGATGTGCTTTCATCCGGATCCTCCAGTCATCAAACTTAAGATCTGAAAACATAAGATTCTTGGACAAGGAGTGATCCATTATATCAGATAGAGATGAGGTAAAACAGAAAAACAAGTGGATCTTTGTTCAACGAATAACCTAGAAGATTATTAGAACAAGGAGGCTCTGATACCACTTGTTGGTCCCGGTTATACTGGATACAGTCTAGAGGGGGGGTGAATAGACTGTATTGGTTTTTGGCTTTTTAAAACTAAGTACCAGTTCTTCAGAATAGCCTGTTCTGTTGAGAGAACAGACTGGCAGCGGATGGGGTTCTGGCAGGGAGTTCTGTTAGCCTCAGAGAAGCAAAGGCAGAAGGCCTTCTGTTAACTCGTAGAACGAGTTCTGCTGAACACAGATACCAAGTTCAGGGAGTTAAACGGTTCTAACTAAATGCAAGTATTAAAAGCAGTAAGTAAACGACACCAGGGATTTTTATAGTGGTTCAAGGAACAACTCGTTCCTCTAATCCACTGTTCCACTAAGCTGTAAAAACTGCCGTTTACAAAGCCTTAGTCCTAGCACTTAAGAAGCACTCCACGTCTTCTTCAAGCCTAGATGTGTCCTGGGATGCACTGCCTGGCTTCCTTTAACACTGGTCCTTTCACTGAGTCTCCTTGAAGTATCACCACTTCACTACTCCAGTTATTCGGACGTCCTTCTTGTAGCAAGAAGAGTTTCTGTTGAAACAGAGGTTCCTCCAACTAGCTTCGTTACAAAATGTATGTATGTGAAGAGCTTGAAGAGTTGAAGAACACTTGGAACTTTGCTTGAGTAGGAAAGAGTATTTTTCCGACTTCTGCCTTCTCTTGTAGAGGATAGTAAGTTTGAATCTCAAGGAGGCTTTTGCTTTTCAGAGTTTGAATATCTTGCTTGGTTAGCAATGTGATAGCAAAGTTATGGCAAAGTTATCCGGTTGTTCTTCGTAGTGTATCTTTTATACTGAGGTTGTCTTCCCGTTGGAGGAGTAGGAGGACAACTGCATTTAATGCGCGAGCAGTTGACTTGACCAGTAGGACCCGGTAAAGTTGGCGGGTTACTATTTTGGGATAAAGTACTCCTGACATTGCGGCCAATTATCTGCAATTACTCCACGGAGCATGGGGAGCATTAAATGAGCATTTAATGCGAGCACTGTAGCTTTTCCGTTTCATACTCCTAGTCGTTTGAAGGAATCTTTATGTTGACTTCCCGGCTTTGTGGATTTCTTCCAAGTGTCAGACCTTCTGGTGTTACTAACAGAGAACTGAATCAGAGAAGATCATGAGCACTTCTGTTGTTGGTAGCTTACAGAGAACCAGGAGGGTTTCTGTCACGCTAAAGGGTAACAGAGACCCTGACGTTTTCTGTTCCTAGACAGAGAACCAAGATCTTCTGTCTGGAGGACTTCTGGTAGAGAGGCCTTCTGGTAGTCGAATATGCTAAGAATTTTACAAGGGAAAATTCTAATACATAATTTCTAAAGGGGTACTCTACAGTCCTAATTAATATAGCATCATCAAAATCTAAATACAATTATTCCTTACATCATGCCTGTCCCAAGCCAGGATAAAGGAGGAGGGTGCTGTGGTAGGCGTGTGACGGCCAACAGTATCACCTAGTCACATCACATGACATGAATCGAAATATGAATATCGCTAATGCTAGGTCGTCACCCGTAAGTGACGCATCATACCTCCGCCTGGGGGTGGTGTCAAATATGCAAGGGCGCGCTACACTTGTTAGACCTGGGTGTGGTGATAAGAATGCTAAGGTTGCTAGGTCGCCGCCCAGAAGCGGCACGTCATCCCATTGCCCGGGGATGATGTCAAATATGCAAGGGCATGGTGGGGTCCGAGATGGGGCTAAGAACAGAAGGTGGAATGCTAGATTGTGTTTTGGGACATGGAATGTTGGGTCTCTTACATGGAAATCTTCCGAGGTAGTCGAGGTTATGAGCAGAAGGAATATCAGCATTATGTGTCTGCAAGAAACTAAATGGGTTGGAGAGAAAGCACACGAGATTAATCCCAGAGGTTTTAAGTTGTGGTATTCGGGGAGAGATAAGACTAGAAATGGGGTAGGCATTATTGTGGCACGTGACTATGTTGAGGATGTGGTAGAAGTCTTCAGGAAGAACGATCGCATCATGAGCATTAAATTGGTGATAAGAGGTGAGATTGTGTGTGTGGTAAGTGCCTATGCACCACAAGTGGGATTGGATGCATCTACAACTCAACAATTCTGGGAAGATCTTGAAGACGTGGTGCGACGAGTGCCAATGGGAGAGAAGTTGATCATAGGAGGTGACCTCAACGGGCATGTGGGCTCGAGTCGTGATGGCTTTGAGAATATTCATGGCGGACATGGTTTTGGCACTAGGAATGAGGCGGGAAAGAACATTTTGGATTTTGCCTTGACGTATGAGTTGGCTATAATAAACACTTGGTTTAAGAAAAGAGACTCTCACCTTGTAACCTATAAAAGTGGAGCTAATAGTACCCAAATTGACTACTTCTTAGTACAGACCACCTGGAGAACTAGCTACACTGATTGTAAGGTTATTCTAGGTGAGAGTGTTGTCACTCAACATAGGATGCTTGTGCTTGACTTTCGAGGTAAAAACCATAGAAGACAAGTTAAACAACAAGTGGAGCCAAAGATAAAATGGTGGAGGCTTGAGAGAGATCTTCAACAAAGCTTTACACACAAAATGGTCGGTGAAGATGTATGGCGTATTGATAATGAAACACATGTGGATGATGTGTGGTTATCAATGGAGTTGACCATTAACAAAGTGGCAAAGGAGGTACTTGGAGAATCTAAAGGATGTCAGCCACCTAAAAAGGACACATCTTGGTGGAATGATGAGGTGAAACAAGCCATAAGGAACAAAAGAGATTGCTACAAAAAGTTGGGGACAAATTGGAGTGATGAGAACATAGAAGCATACAGGGAGGCTAAAAGACAAGCAAAGAAAGCCGTAAGGGAAGCACGAGGGGAATTGAACAAGGAGTTGTATGAAAAGTTGGACTCTAAGGAAGGAGAACTAGATATTTATAGACTTGCTTGTCTTCGTGATCACAGAACTCAAGATATTGCAAAAGTTAAGTGTGTGAAGGATGTTGATCAGAGGATATTAATGGACGAAGGAGAGATAAAAGAGAGGTGGAGGTCATACTTTGATACACTATTCAACGGGAACAAAACGCAAGATATCGGCGATTTGTCCATACCAGATTGTATGGTAAACCGTGATTTTGTGAGAAGGATCCAAACAACGGAAGTTAAAGAAGCTCTGAGAAAGATGGGACGGAAAAGAGCAATGGGGCCAGATGGCATACCGATCAAGGCTTGGAGAAGTTTGGGAGAGAGAGGCGTCGAGTGGTTAACAAGTTTCTTCAACATGATTTGGAGAAACAACAAGATGCCAACGAGTTGGAGGAAGAGTACTCTTATCCCCTTATTTAAGAATAAAGGTGATGTACAAGAATGTGCCAACTATCGAGGGATTAAGCTTATGAGTCACACCATGAAACTTTGAGAGCGAGTGATTGAGCAAAGACTTCGAAGGACTGTGAAGATTTCAGAGAATCAATTCGGTTTTATGCCTAGTCGCTCAACAACCGAGGCCATTCACCTTCTTCGGCAACTTATGGAGAAGTATAGAGATGCTCATAAGGATCTGCATTTGGTGTTCATTGACTTAGAAAAGGCATATGATAGGGTATCTCGAGAAGTTCTTTGGTGGGCCTTAACTAGGAAAGGCATATCACGCAAGTATATCAGCATCATCATGGATATGTATGAGGATTGTACTACAAGTGTTCGTACTAGTGTAGGGAGGACTGAAGAGTTCCCTATTACTATCGGAGTGTACCAAGGATCGGCCTTGAGTCCTTTCTTATTTGCCATAGTCATGGATGAACTTACGAAGTCAATTCAAGATGATATACCGTGGTGCATGATGTTTGCCGACGATATTGTATTGATTGATGAGACGCAATCAGGTCTTAAAGCAAAGTTGGAAGTATGGCGACAAACATTGGAGAATAAGGGTTTCAAACTAAGTCAGAGCAAGACAGAGTACATGGAGTGCAAGTTTAGTGGAGGTAGAAGTAGTGGTAATAGCGTAATTACTCTAGATGGTAAGGAGATACCAGTCAGCGATATGTTCCGTTACTTGGGCTCCATAATTCAGAAGGACGATGAGTTAGATGGAGATGTATCCCATAGAATCAGAACAGGGTGGATGAAGTGGAAGAGTGCGTCAGGATTTATATGCGACCGAGGTATGCCGACTAGACTGAAGGGTAAATTTTATAGGAAAACAATTAGGCCTGCATTACTGTATGGCGTAGAGTGTTGGACGGTGAAACAATGTCACATTCAAAAGATGAGTGTGACGGAGAAGCGCATGCTGCGTTGGATGTGTGGGCATACTAGGAAGGACCGCGTGAGGAATGAGACAATCAGACAAAGGGTGGGAGTAGCACCTATTGAAGACAAGATGCGGGAGTCACGCCTACGGTGGTTTGGTCATGTGCGTAGAAGACCAAGTGATGCCCCTGTTAGGCGAGTTGAGATGTGTGGAGAAGAGGCAGGGAAGAGAGGGAGAGGAAGACCCAAACAGACGTGGGTTAGGGGAGTTCGAAGTGATATGCTTCTTCTGGGGTTGGATGAGGGCATGACTTTGGAGAGAACTAAATGGAGAGCGGGTATTCACGTGAAGGAGTGATCTTGATAATCTTTCTCCCTCATCTTTTTTTTTCCTAGTTTTTTTATCCTTATATATATATATAAGCATTATTTGCAGCCTTTTTATTTTATCATTTTTATATTTATTCATCTTTTTTTATATTATCTTTTCATAATAGCTTATCTTTTTATCTTTATTCCTTCTTTTCCTTTTGATTGTGATATCATGTATCGATTCATGTTAGCCGACCCCAATATTTTTTGGGACTAAGGCTTGGATGTTGTTGTTGTTGTGATGTGATTGAATCTTACAAACAACACATTCACTGCCGAATATTTTGCAAAATCGCTCAATCATGGGTTTTTGGTACTTTTGTTTATGCCTTATATACCATAGGCGAAAGGAGGAGTCTTTTTGAACATTTGGGTACTCTTTCTAATAATATCATTACCCTGTGGATGGTAATGGGAGACTTCAATTGTATTTGATCACCTACAGAAAGATTGGGGGAAATCAATCAACTAATTATGCCATGAGGGATCTGTATAACTTCAAGGTTTCATGTGAATTGACTAATTCACCTTCTACTGGCCAATTCTTCACTTGGAACAAAGGACAATTATGGGCAAAACTGGATAGGACTCTCTGTAATCATATTTCGCAGGAGAGATCGATCATGTGTACTATGGAATTTCTGGACTTTGAGCCTTTTTTTGACCATGTTCCCTCTTTTTCTTCCCTAATCATATTTGGCAAGAGAGATCGATCATGTGTACTACATAATTTCTGGACTTTAATCCTGATGCGTATTGATTCAAAGAATTCCAAATCGTTCAAATTCTTTAACATGTGGCTCAAGCACCCAGATTTCCAGTCTATTGTTTATAAGGTTTGGGTGCACCGCAACAAACAATTTGTTCTTTGTAAGAAGCTAAAAACTTTGAAAGGATCTCTCAAAGCACTTAACAAATCTGAATATGGTTGTATCTTAGACAAAGCTAAGGGGGCCAAAGATAGCTATAAAGTGTTTCATAATAACCTTCTTCTTGATCCTTTGAATGTTCAGCTCCAAGAATCGGTTGAAGCAGCTAGAAAGAAAGCGGTTTTCCTCTCCGATGTTGAGTTCCTCTTCTACCAGCGAAGGGCCAAGACTAAGCATCTTCTACAGGGTGATCCTTGTACCACGTATTTCCATGCTATAGTCAAGAGGAATACCACCCGAAACTTTATTCCACACATTACACTTGCAAATGGAAGACAGACTACATCTACTAATCAAGTGACCATTTGAATTCCAGAATTTTTTAAAAGAACTCTTCGGTATTGCTGCTGTGAATCAGGTTCTTAACCCCTCAGTGGTTAACGTTGGACAAGTCATTGATCTAGTGATTGCAAATCAGTTGATTACTCCTATGACTGAGGAGGAAATCTGCTCTGCTCTTTTTTATATTGAGGATGATAAAGCATCGGGCCCGGATGGTTTTCTGCTACCTTTTTTAAACACAACTAGAATATAGTTGGTAACGACGTCACTGAAGCTATTTTGGAATTCTTTTTTACTGGTAGACTGCTCACGAAACTAAACCATAATTCCATCTCTCTTATCCCAAAAAGAAGCACTCACCTACTATTGTGGACTTCAGACCTAGAGCTTGCCCGTCTCTCCCTTTGCTTACAGTGTCATGCCCCGGACCTACCCGGACACGTCAACAACCTGCCGTAAAATACAAATAGTCAACCGTAGTCCAACCAACATACTTATACAAGGCGTCTTGAATATCATTCACACGTAGTACATCCATAGACAAATATAATGTAAAATATTAATTAAAGCAGCGGAAAAATTAATAAAGTGTTCAAGTCACACTTGTCAAACTTAGGCATACAAGCCCCCAAATAATTATTGAGAAAACAATATACATGAGCATTATTGTAATTGTTTTTAACATAGAAATGGAGGAAGCACGAACCACGTCTTCCCTCCTTGATCTTCCCGGAACAACGGGTGTTGGTAGCAAGCTTCAACTTCTACCTAAAACTGTGAGGTGGCCTCCCCCGTGAAGGAAAAGTCAGTACATTGAAGCATTCAGAAGTACAATGACAACTACACTGTATAAAATGAATGGTTCAATTCCTAAGACCCTCAATCTAGTGTGATATTATATTATAGGGCATAACCCTCGGTTACCCTGTTTGAAAATATACTTACTTTCTATAAAGTCAAGTAGTCGGGCTGTGGGCCCATATTCATTTAAAATGCCAATCCACATCCCACGTGACTACTATTCATAATTATCATATATTCATATTAAATTATTACGCCATTCTAGGGCTTTACCCTAATGCGTTATTTCACTATATGAGAACCTCGTTCACTTATTATAATTACACCGTGCTAGAGCCTTGCTCGTAGTCACGTTACATCGTGCTAGAGCCCCGCTCATAGTCACTTTACTTTGTGCTAGAACCTTGCTCATAGTCACTCTACATTGTGCTAGAGTCTTGCTCTTAGTCACCACTACACCGTGCTAGAGCCCGACTCTTAGTCACGTTATTAAGTGATGTGAGTTTTCTCGCACTTAAAATATGTAGCAGTATAGGGTGTAAGTACGAGTATCGTCTCCAAAAGGACAGACAAAAGGGAATTAAGTATTATTTAAATTCAACGATAAAAACTAACTAAGAAAAATAAATATATAAATTGTGCGAGATTTGATTTGATGGAAAAGTAAATTGCGAATAAAGAAATTAGACTAATGAGTTCTTTCTAATTAATGACGAAGGGAACATGGATTGATTCCGGGATAATCAGATTTCTGGCTGATCAGGCTTAATTACATGAAATTAATTTAATTGAGCCTCGCTAATCATTACTAAGTTCTTACCGCTCTCGCGGCGTAGAGTACAATAATTTAGGGGACCAGGCTGATCTCTCATGCGACATGATTCTAAAATTATTCCCAAAACGGGTTAGCGTACGGCCCCTTAATCGCTACTAATCTCTTAGCGAACGATTAAGTGTGTGTGAAGGTTTCCTAGAATAAATTAGATCTATCTTAATTTATTCTACAAGTAATTGTAATTCTAGTGGTCGTTCTAGATTACAAGATATATCAATTAAATCATTCAAACACAACTTAAATACATTAATGCAATTAATCCATCATGAAACTAAACATACATCATAATTAACCCATTCATCAATCCCAAATCCCTAATTAAGACTACTCACAACTCATAATTGAATGATCAACAGAATTGGGATGAACAAAATTAATTGTCATTAATTAAAAATTAGGAACTTACAAATAATCCAAGGGAATTGAAGAACAAGATGGAAAAGTAGAAGAAATTTCGTCCATAGGCCTCTATCTAAGCTCCCCCCTAAAACATGGGTTTACAGGCTGTTTAAATAGGAAAAAACGGATAAAATTTGAGCTGGAATAGGATTTTCGGGGTCAAGCACAACCCTGCCTAAGGGTCAATCAATCCCCGTTCTAGACCGATTATAGAATTGTTAGTTGTACAGGCTGCTCAATCAATCCCCGTTCTAGACCGATTGGAAGTGTAAAACTGGACTGCTGGGCAAAAGCCGGGCGGCTTTCACAAAATCTGGGCGGCGTTCGTGCTGCTGCTATACGAGCAACCTCTTTTCTTGGCGATTTCCGGTGATTTCGACTCACCAACCCTTCTAAGTTAAACATCACCACTTTATATCAATATTCTACACTTTAAAACGTGTAGAACTCATGGTTTAATCCACCATATGATTTCTTAAAAATCATACAAGATAGTACTAGCTAAGGAACACTAGTTGAGGTCTTACCTCAATTCTACCTTCTTTCTTCTTGGATTTTCTTCCTTGTTGCTTCCTCCAACTGTGGATTTGGTGAGAGACTTTCCCGGAGCTTTTCTCCTCTTTGGTTTGTTCAAATAGTGCAAGGGAACGAGGAGGCACTCTACTCAATCAAGCATCAAAATAATGCATGAGTAGGGTCCTAGGAGGTGTGATGGTGTCTTTGGCCATCCCTCCTTGAATCAGTCTGCACACACACTCAAATCATGTCACTAATCCTATCATTTGGGAGTTATTTGATTTGTAAAATACCCCAAATGAGTGTAGGAAGTTTCACTCAATTATTCCTGCTAGTTTTGGCAGGCTAGGTCAAAATAGCACTTGGGTTGCCCAAACATTTTCCTCAACTTCAGTTAGCATTTTATTGAGCTTCTAAAATTATTATGACCACCCAACTAAATATTTGGTAGCCCATTCTCAATATTATGGACCCGTAAATAATTTAATTAATCATTCATTAGTTAAATACACCGTTCTTTTACACATGATTATTCACTAGAAAATTCAAATTCATACTGAATTTTAAATTCAAATACATCCAGGTGTGATGTCACATACTGAGTATCATTGATTAGGCCCAAGGGGCGTCTGTGGAGGGAAGACTCATGACGGAGAATATTTTCCTTGCTCAGGAACTGGCTGGGGGCTACAACCGAAAAAACCCACTCCCCGGTGTATGATAAAAGTGGATTTTCACAAGGCTTAGAATACTATTTCCTCGGCATTTTTAGAAGACATGCTGATTGAGTTGGAGTTTCCTGGACTATTTGAACACTGGATCATTGAATGTGTGTCTACACCTTCGTTCTTCATTGCACTTAACATATCCCTTCACGGATTTTTTAAAGGTAGAAGAGGGCTCGAGCAAGGAGATCCCCTGTCACTCTCACTGTTTGTTATCTGCCTCGAGTATTTTTCCAGATTATTGAAGTTTAAAACAGGAGTCGGAGATTTCAATCTTCACCCGCGGTGTGCTGGACTCTAAGAAGTTTAAAGCAGGGGTCATATGACCTCATGTTATTCTCCAAGGCAGATTCTGGCTCTATTAAAATCTTGATGGATGGGCTTATGGAATTTTTTGATATTTCGGGCTTATTAGTTAACTCCCATAAATCTAAGGGATTTTTTCGCAAACAGACAAAATATGAAAGTAATATCACATTTTTTTGCCTTTTCAAGGTTTTTTCAAAGATAGACTAAAAAGGAATTCCTTTTCAAAAATGGACCTCCACTACCAAGCCTACATGTTAAGTTACGGATTGCACACAGGCGATTGAAAATTCATATCACCTTTTGCACACGGGAGTATAAAATTTTAAACAAAGAAGCCGCAATAATTTATATATATTTTCGTGAAAACTTTAATATATACTTAACAAACGTAAAAAAGTTAATAAAATACAATTAATGTATATAAAATAATAACGTCAAAAATAATAAAAGAATTATTCAATTTTTAAAATACGTAAACTAATAGAAAAAATAAAAAGACAAAGCCCAAATAGGTGAAAACTCATAAAGTGATGAAATCTAAAACTTAGAAACAAATATGTAAAATAAAATAAAAATGTTTTGAAGCAATTTAAAAAATATGAAAAGTTATTATACATCTTCATGAAAGAGTAAAGTTTTCTAAAATCGGTATACATACAACTATACATGAAAAATCATCTAAAAATCATATAAGTATTACAAAATGAAAACATAGAAAAATTCAAATAAATATATAAAATTTGAAAACATTGAAACAATTCAAATAATAAAAAGAAAAATAAGAGTTTAAAAAGAAAATATAAAACATAAGTGAATATAATTCATATAAAAATATAAAGAGTCAAAAAATATATAAAAAAAATTTATGAAAAGTTTAAAATAGAAAAAAAAAACCTAAAAACTATAAACAAAATATCTATAGTAAAATAAAAGTGTTTTAAACCACTAACAATTATAGAAAATATTTTAAATTGATAAAGAAATAAAAAATGATTGAAAAAACTAAAATTGAATATAAATTTAAAAATAGAAATTTTATCAACGGTAACATACACGAATTAAAAAATTAAGAAATACATAATTCGAAAAAATCTTAAAATGTTAAATAGAAAAAATGTAACGTAAAAAAAGATTATTTTTTTAATTAATTTTATTTAAACTAGTAACATTTTAATTTTTTTAAAATTTAAATAATTTGAAATTGTAAATATTTATTTTTAAAAAAACTCTCAATTTTTTTAATACTATTATTTTTGTTTTTTTATGTTTCCTTTTGTTCATCGTTTTTATATGGTGCAACTTTTTGTTGCCTTTTGTTGCATCTTGTTGTTTTTTATTTCTTTTTGTTGATGAATTTTCATATTTTGTTTCTTAATGTTTATATTTTGTTTTTTATTGTTTACTTTTGTTTCTTGTGATTTCATTATATGGAATTTTGTCACTACACACATGTATAGAGTGTCTTTGTACAAAAATAGAAAAATTAACTGGAAATATAAATACCAAATTAAGAAACATAATAAAAATCAAGCATTGATCAATATCAACAAAAAGAAACAAGATGCAACAAAAAGCAACAAGATGTAACAAAAAGCAACAAGATGTAACCCGCACGGGTAGCTCAGTTGGTCGAGTGGTGGGAGATTTGGAACAATGGACCAAAGTTTGAATCCTCGCAGCGACCGGGTGGAGGTCACAGAATTGAACCTGAAATAAGGTTGGGCCTCTGTTGCGCACGGGTGTATAGGCCTACTGCCATTCTGCTGACTGAGTCACCGTGACTAACCTCCCCACCATCCTGTCGGGTCGGGGTGGGGGGCTCCTGGGGTGGGAGATTCCACCTTTTTTTGGAACAACAAAGCAACAAGATGTAACAAAAAGCAACAAAATGCCACAAGATGCAACAAAAAGCAACATAATAAAACAAAGAAAAACAAAAAAGAATAAACAACATACAGTACAATATACACATTTAAATTTGTTTTTTCATATTCATCACTGTGGTCCATGTTTAGGGGTGGATTCGGTTCGGGCCACCCGGCCCGTGACCCGGCCCGGCCCGTTACTGTGCAGGCCCGGGACCGGCCCGGTCTGGCGGTCCGGGACCGGGTGTAGACCCGAACCGGTGGGGATGGGCGGGCGGGCTCGGTTCCGGAAAAATGTGATCCGGCCCGGGTCCAATGGTCCATTTTTTTTTTTTAAAAAAATTGTTTTGGCCAAAGTAGCCGTTGGGGGTGGGCTGGGGACAACCCAAACGGCTATATAGCCGTTGGGTGGGGTGCAGGGGGTCCGGGGGGTTTGGGGGGTGGGGGTGGGGGTGGGGGTGGGGTAAAAAAACCTATAAATACTCCTAATCTTAAACATTTTTTCATATCTCTTCTCCAATTCTTCCTAAATCCTATTCTTAACTCTCTACTCTCTAATTCTCTTATTCTCCAATATATTATATTTATTATTTATATATCTACTTTATATTAATTATCTACTTATAATTTATAAATACACATTATAATATTATATTACATATATTTGTTATCTAATTATATATTACATTATTACTTATACATTTATTATATCTATTAATATAGTTGGAATTATATCTAATTAATTTGAAGTCATTCTATTACTCCCATCCGAAAGACCGAAAGTCCGAAAGAGGTACGAAATTATTCTATTATTTACACTTGTTTAATTTTGTATTAACGTTACTTGAAAAAAAAAACTAGTTAATTCTCATAATAGTTAAAGTTAAACTATAATAATTTGATTGTTAGTAAAAAAAATAGGTTGTACAAAATTCTATAAATACTCTTATTTTCTAACATTTTTATACACATCTTCTCCAATTTCTAATCTCCATTCTCCAATCTCAAGAGTATAGTGTATTGGATCTAATCTATCTACTGCGCTCCGGCAAATAAAGTCAATCTCCATCTTGTTTTGCTTTTGAATCATCATCTGTATCAAACAGCTCAAGGTTTGGAGCCATACTAAAACTCTCTTGCAACAGTTTCTTAAAAAAATCATTCTCATCCTGATTCTCCATGAAGGCTGAATGCCGCCGCCTCGAGGATGGGCAGTTGCACCGCCGCCTCGACGATGAGCAGTTGCACCGCCGCTACTTCCTCGTCGGCGAGTGTCATGAACAACTTCCCATGCTCTTTCTCAAGAAGGAACGAGGTGAGGCAGATGGCGGTGGCAGGTGGGCAAGTGGCCGGGGGCGGGGAGAGTGTTGTTGGTTTAGGCGCATGTGGTAGCCTGGTAGGGGGAGAGGACTACTGCAATACTGTGTCGTTTTGGACCGGCACACCATCCTCATGGTGCGCCGGTCATAGTATATAATTTGCGTATCATATATCTTGGCATACCTGTGGCATCGTTAAAACTTTCGGTTGCCCAATATATATGCACCAGATATTAAAACTTTCGGTTGCCCAATATATATGCACCAGATATAAATCAATATAAATCAGTATATTATTCTCGTGCATCCAAACCCCACTATTAGATGCTACTAGTATAGTACTCGTGCGATGCACCAGATATTATTCTCTAAATATTTACAATCAATATAACTCCTATAGATAAAAGATAATTAAATTCAATGAATAACATCATAAAACTTGAAATATTATGAACTCGTTAAGAAGTTTTGGCTAAAGTAGCCGGATTGATTGATTTTGCTGATTCATGTAAAAAATTAGATTTAAAATAAAGAAAAATTTAATGACTAAATTACATAAAAAATTACTAAAATGACAGTACTCTACAGTATTTTCAGTCAATACAACCAAATAAATAAATTCAACCTTATGTTTTTGATAAAAAAGTTGATTGATAAGTCTTATAAGCTAAAAACATGCTCACCAAAACAGCTCTTATCTATTTTACAAATTCTTAAACACTTTCTTGTATATACTCCGTAATTACATAATACTTCGTACATGCCAAAGAGGCAAACTAGCAAAGAGATATCCAACTTCCACTACGGGCCTACGGCAATGCAAAGTATTGAAAAGTCAAACTTACATAATAATTTAACAATTTTGCTATAGCTACCTCAACCTTACCCTATTTTATACTCCATATAAATACCTTCTAAAAAATTTACCCCCCTCACTTCACCTCCCCTCCCTCACCTCCCCACAACCTTCCCCTCATCTCCACTTCCAAATCTCCCACTCCTCCCACCTTTTTCCTTCCCCATCAACTTTCCATTTAAGAACTCTCTTCCCGCACCAACCTCAACAGTTCACAACCCATCCTCCACAACTGCGTCCTGGCTCCCACGAAACAACCAACCGTCGTCATGGACCCCACGAAACAACCAACCCATGTCCTTTGTTGTCTGGCACAGCCAACTTTTGTCCGACTGTGAGACAGAGAGTAGTTAATTGGCCCACTCTACTAATGTCTGGCCCAGACAAAATTTGTCTGACCGTAAGACAGAGAGTAGTTAAATGGCTCAGACTACTAATGTCTGGCCCAGACAAAATTTGTCTGGCTGTAAGACAGAGAGTAGTCAATTGGCCCAGACTACTAATGTCTGGCCCAGACAAAATTTGTCTGGCTGTAAGACAGAGCGTAGTTAATTGGCCCAGACTACTAATGTTTGGACCAGACAAAATTTGTCTGGCTATAAGACAGAGAGTAGTTAATTGGCCTAGACTTTAAGACAAAACTGTGTTCACTTTAGGCTAGACAGACACTGCAGTTCTAAATTGTCTGTCTGCCAAACAAAATACAAACAAATTACAAAAAAACAACATACTCTTTTCCAAAACATCAATTAAATTACTATATCATATTAAATTGGAAATCCATAAAAATACTCATTAAACATTGAGGTACAAAAAATGGGAAAAAGTCTTGAATTTCAACAAAAACTTCATTGAGTAATTTCTACAAACATGTTATGGGCATAAAATGAAATAGAGAAATTACACTAAAATTTTAATTAGGTAACACCTCAAAATCATTACAATGAAACAAAATAATCATTTATTCACTTTTGCAATCCTACTTTCTTTATCTTCATCTTAAATTATAATTGAATCTATTTTTTTTCTTTATCTATTTTTTGGCAGAACATATTCACTATTTAAGTAAACACATGCTATTGAAACAAAAAAACGAGTTTTTTGCAAGGGAAAAAAATGGCGGAAAAATGATTTTTTTGCAAAAAAATGATTTTTTGGCAAAAAAAAAATTGATTTTAAGGGAAAAAATTATTTATGGTCTTAATATTAAAAACAAAACATATTCTCTATTTACGTAAAGTAATTGAGCAATTAGACTCCTTGTTTCAAGGAAATCAATGTTTTATTTCTTATAGTTCGTATTAGACAAGTTACATTTGGACTTGCCTGCAGTTACATTTCTGATCAGCGTGAGTTACATTTCTTTACACGCGAGTTACATTACTCTGCTACTGGACACTGGAAAAACAAAAAATAAGTTACTGTTCACGCATGAACAGTAACACGCGTATTTTTGTCTGTGGGAGCAGCATGCTCACGGTGGGCTGCTCCCACGGTATAACAACTGCTAACAAATACAAGATATCCATTAAAAACATATACAATACAAATTAATTGCTTTAAAAATATTCCAGACAACCCAATAAACACTACAATGATCTGAAAAATATTGCTTTCGTCGCGTATTTCATTCGTGATTCGAAAACACACCAGTATAACTAAAATATTGAATATTTTAGTTAGGTTCGGTTTTATTCAGTTTTTAAAAATATTAGTTACGTTTTCTCGGCTTCTAGATAAATATGCTTCTTTGTATATGTCTTATTTTAGGGTGGTGTTTTTTGCATTCACAATTTCATCTTTTTGTGTGCATGTAGTCGTGCCTACCGTTGCTTTCGCATTATATTTCTTGAAAAAATCCCCATCCGTTTGGAGTCTTGTTTACGTTTTTGGCTTTTATATTTGTTACTAGCGTGGGTGCGTGCGTTGCGCGACAATTGATGCCCAAGCTCGTAGGAAAACAGTAAATTTGCGGTGCATAATAATGATATGCAAATACATTACCAAAAGGTAACCGATAAAAGAGAGTCAATTAAGTCTATTGCAGCATGAGCGGAATAAAAAACAGTTTAACCATTTAGTTTATAAATATACATCGAAGAGTCATAGTAACAGTTAATCAAAACAAACATCACATGTTTGGAAGTTCAACAAGGACTGGAAGCATAATGACATGCAGTGTTACTGATGTCGTAGGTATTGGTGCGACTCGGTGGTTCCTCTATACCGCAGAAACCATTATATTACCTTTAGTGATTACACTCTAGTCCATGCAAAGTTATATTATCTACGTGCATTAATGGTTTTAGGCTCCATGCAATCAAGAGCTGGTTTAATAAGGGGGCAGTTTATTTAAAAATTACTATTTTCTTAAAGGTCTGATGTTTGTTATTGAATAAGGTCTTCTAAAAGTCTAAGACGGGCATAGCCTATATAATGCATATAGGTTAACAAAGAATAAGATGAAGAAATGATAGGCTTAGATACATACCTGGCTCTGTTTGTGCTCATCCATGTAAAAATCAATGAAGTCTCCCTGCCCCCAGACAATGTTCATGCACAAATCCACCTATACATATTGGATCAACAATAAGACCTTTTCCTGTGCTCTGTTTCTATATCTAGAAAATTAACACAAGAAGCAGATACTCGATTTAGAAAATTTAACCTGTATTATCAAGCACGTATATGCGACTGATGTTGTTTTGGCCAGTACCTGTAAGCATGGAAGAACCAAAGTTAAAAGTTGTAACTACGAAGGAAAGAATCAAAGATAAATCTCGTGCCCCTCTGACTATGGAACCTGCAAGTTGCATCATATAATGAGTGTTAAGTTAGGGTAAAACATCTATAGTGATCATATAATCAGTGTTAAGAAATCTTGGAATACACACTCCTAGGCTATGTTTGGAATGCGATAAAGAGGAAGATGGGAAAGATTGTCGAAGAAACTACTCTCATTTTAATGTTTTATTATACATAGGAAATTAAAATGCAAAGAAAATCAATTCCGATTATAACATTTTAAAGTTCTACATTCATTTTTACTCCGTACTTTTTAGTCTCTATATAACAGAAATATATCAAAAGGGTTGACCTCATAATTGAGAGAATTATATTGAAAAGAACCATTTTTATGTATTCCCTGAATTTCTGTCTCTCACAGTTGTTATCTATTTTTCAGTCTAAAATTACAAAGAAAAAGGTATAAACCAAAAACCGAAAAAAGAGTTTTTATGGATCACCCATATCCTTGAACTATCATTTGATTCTTAGACCAAAGCTCCATTGTTGAACAACAAACGAACATTACCAAGTCACCTTTGGCGAGAAGCCAAGTTCGTCCGTGAAGTGAATCGACTTTAATATCTATTCATCAAATTTCCAACATCAGCCACATATTAATTTCCTACTTTTACTTCCAAATTAATGGGGTGCTTACGTTAGCCCCACCGTCGATGAGCTTATGGACGCAAATGATCTTTCCATGCATTGCAGCCAACATCAATGGAGTCTGAACCATCCAAAATCAACCAAAACAATAAACACCATCAGCCGTCATTATGGAGAAATATAAAGAAAATGCACAAAATATCCAACCAAACAAGGAAGAAGAAAGCAGAAAACATAGTACCTGCTTGTAGCAATTCAACACATCCGGGTTGAAAGATATGTTTAACAGCATATTAAGGATCTGACAAAATTAACCGATACCCATCCATTAAAATTGATTTCAGTAACTAAAGATTGAATCTTTCAAATAAATTAGAGTTGACCTCGAACTGGCAGTTTAGTGAGTCATTTTGTTTTATTCCATCATAACCTCAAGCCAAAAAAATAATGAATCTTTGGCTCCATTGCAAATGACGGAAAACCTCATCGAGCTTTTCTGTATGAATTGAAAAAGTAAAAACGGGCATTTGGGGTGTCCTCAGAGATAGTTTCATCACCGGACAAAATTGGGACATGTGTAAGAGCTGCACAGTCAAACGTTGGATCAGAGAGGTTCTCATCATTTCCAAGTGGAGTCTCTAACGTATCCTTTCCAGCATCACAGGTAACCAATTGATGTCAATCCTCGGTTACCGCCTCGTGGAGGGTGGCCACCGGGGTTTCATCACAATCAGGACTCACTGGGAGCTTGGCATCTGTACTCTTATCACAATTAGAGTCACAAGGGGCCACAGTGTGGGGTGTAAATAATGAAGTGGGACCTGGTTCAAGTATAGCAGTGACATAAAATCACAGCATTACGGACAGTAGCATCATTTTCATGAAGCGAATCATTAACAGAAGAAACCACTCGAGCTTTCAGAATTTTGGCGGCTGCATATTCAGAAAATGAAGCAGCCTTTAAAGGTCTGGCAATATCAGACATTTTAGGGACTGTAACATGAAGAAGATAAATTGCTTGTGCATCGACAGGTCTGGCAGAATTTTCAATTTTAGGGAATGTAACCAATGGATGAAAATCCTCGGTTACCGCCTCGTGTAGGGTGGCCACTGGGGTTTCATCGGAATCAAAACTCACTTGGATTTTGGCAGGTGTAATTATATCACAATTAAGAGTCATCAGTGACATTAACCGCAACATTAGGGACAGTAACATCATATTTAGGAACTGAAACACCAATAGAAGAAACTGCCTGGGCTTCCACAGTTATGGGTGCTGCAATATCGGAAAATGCATGGGCCTTAGAAGGTCTGGCATTATCAACAATTTAGGGACTGTAACATTAGTAAAAGAAACTGGTTGGGCATCTAAAGGTGTGACATTAACAATAGCATCAGTAACAAGTCTTCAATAAAGATGCAAAATAAATAGGACTAATAGATTAAGTGAGACTATTAACGGTTATATTTAAATAGGACTAATCAAGTGTTTGGATTTGCAGAATAGTTAATCCATTACTTTTGGACCGGTTAAGGAAATAAATAGGACTAATAGATTAAGTCCTATTTACTAATGGAGCCGAGCAAATAGCTATACTAATTTGCATCTAAATAGGACTGTTTGGATGCAAGCAACAAATGGAGCCGAGCAAATAGCTATAGTAATCCCAGCAATGCTAAGAATGTGTCCCTGTGTATATAAGCAAACGTAAAGCAAACTATTTAGTGCAGAAAACAAAAGATATATTAACTGTAATAAAATCCCACATTTCAATACATTACCGTTAATGTAAGCTATCCTACAAGGATAAAAACAGCAATCAAGCTATTGATCTCACCAAATAATGGGCTTCTTCCAACGGGATTTGTAACTGTTTTGGCAATAACGGTCACTTTCTGCAAAAAGAAAGGGTGGGTTAGTTAAAGAAATGGTAAGTTAATTTAAAAATTTTAATACATGTCACTCTGTTTCCAGAAAAGAGAGAACTGTTTACCTGAAAGTAGAAGAAGGATGAGATAATTGCACTCAGTCACAGGAATAAGGATACACATTGTAAATATGTTGATGACAAGATAAGCCGTATCCCATCTAATATGACCCAGAGCTGTTGAGGCTTTCCAATTGAGGAAGACAATTATGGAGACGATTTTGTGTGTGTCACATCTGTTTGATCAGTAGGATGATCCACACCAACTAACCTACATTCTCATAAAATAAAAAGTAAGATACAATTTATGAGTCATGCCCCTTCTTATTGAACAACATATTTTGCATGTTAATATATGATTTTAGCATAGCGCCATAGGGACTGTAGAATAAATAGGAACTGAGTAACTTATTCTCATGAAGGCCTAGGTGAACATAAATTATCAATGTATCAGTGTATGTTTGGATCCTAAAAAATGATAGGTGTGTGAGGAGGCTGAGGAAAGTTAGTTTCTTATTTTAAGCTTTACCTGGAAGATGCAAAGTAAACTAAACAAATATTTGGTTTTTTTATCTTTTTAAATACATTTATTTTTTAACGTTTATCTAGTTGAAATAATTAAATAAAAAAGTACTTGAACAAATATCTCAATGTATGTATCCTAGAAAATGATATGTGGGGGGCTACGAAAAGTTATTTTCTTACGTTGGGATTTACCATGGAAAATGCAAAGGTAAAGTTAAAAAATGATTAGCTTTTCTCTTTTTTAAATGTATTAAGATTTCTTAGTGTTTAATTAGTTGAACATATACATTAAATTTACTAGAACAAATATCTCAAATAAATTGATTGAGTTTGAGCGAAATATCTGAAACTGTGAGGTGGCCTCCCCCGTGAAGGGGAGGTCAGCACTTGGAAGCATTTGACAAGTACAATGACAACTATACTAAGTATAATCAATGTTTCAATTTCTAAGACCCTCAATCTAGGGTGATATTACATTATAGGTCATAACCCTCGGTTAACCCTTTATAGAAAAATACTTACTTTATATAAATTCAAGTAGTCGGCCCGTGGGCCCATATTCATTTAGAATTCACCATTTTAATTCCACGTGACCACAAGCCACGACAACCCCATAGGGTTCCATCGAGCCCCGATTGTATAGCAAGGGCTCGGCCCAACTACATTTCTATACAATCCTCTAACTCAATTTAACACGTCAAAGTTGTATGGTAAGGGCTCGGCCCAACTACGTTTCCATACCCACCATAACTTCATGGCAAGGGCTCGGCCCAACTACGTTTCCATGAAGATCACAAATACATGGCAAGAGCTCGGCCCAACTACGTTTCCATGCTAATCACATTACATGGCAAGGGCTCGACCCAACTACATTTCCATGCAATCCTAGAGTCCGACTCTAATTTATTTTCATAGTCAAATTCTCAAGCAAATCCTATGCCTAGAATCAATTCACTTGGGTAGCCTTTAGGCTTACCCCTAACACACTTTAGTGTTCATACAATTCAACCTTAAAGTATCTCTTAAGACTACTTAAGGCATATCTATTCACAACCCCATCTCTTAGGATTAATTCCATCATTTATTTATATTAATCTCCCGACTAGTGTTTCAATACTAGTCGGATAATCTTAGAACAGCCAAGTTTTTAATTCACAGTCAAATAATTCATCTCAATCAATTTTCCAATCCAAATATACTTTAATCTCAATATAAAAAATATCACTTTTATCCATTCATGAATTCCTTACATGAAGTAAAAATATATTTATTACAACATTTCATAGTTAATCCCATCATCATGCCATCACTTTCATATCACATAATCATACACAATTTATTCTAAAATTGTATATCATGCTTCACTTCTCATATCAATAGTATTTTCATTTAGGCATTATTAATTATTAATAATCCATGAAAATCACGTTTAATTACCTTAGGTAATCTTATGAAATTAACTCACTAATTATAAGCAATATAGTCAGTCATCCTCACCTTATGATGTGCTCAACTATTTGCCTTTGCGAAGCTTTAGATCAACCCCCGTTTTTGGCTGATTAAACCAAGAATCCTGGACAGCAGCTGAAAGCCGCCCGGTGTTCGTGTTCTGCAGGTTCGAGCAGCCTGTTATACTTGGCGGTTTCTGGCATTTTCGACTCCTATCAATTCACCAACTCTTCTAAGTTAAATACCACCACTATATATCAACATTCTACACTTTTAAACGTGTAGAACTTCATGTTCAATCCACCATATGATTTCTCGAAAATCATACCATATTAAACTAGTTATTGAACACTAAATGAGTTCTTACCTCAATCCTAGCTCTTTCTTCTTGGATTCCTTCCTAGTTGCTTAGACTTTGAGGGAAGGTTTTCCTAGCTCTCTCTCCCTTCTCTCTTGTGCGTATGGTGTGAAATGAAGGAGAGGA